ATATTTCATAGAATTCTTTCGCTTTTGAAGGAAAATAAGGTAATCTAAAATAAATTCGCATCGGGGCATCATCATAACTAGGTATATTAAATAACATAAGGTACATTTTTCTCCTCAATAATGTTTAAACTGTCATGATGACCTATTGCGAATTTTTTTCTTAGCAACCCATTCTCTTTCATCGTATCTGTTGCTACATTTAGCAGTCAACACATAACCAACAATACTTAATAATATTTCGCACAGCTTGGCATAAGGATAAACCACACAAGAAATCGTGTGTTGGTAAATGCCAGGTCGTTTATTTCCCTTTGCTGACCGAAGCTGTTAGCAGCAGCACCTGGCAGGTCTCCAAACCACGTGTACCAGTTACTGCAATGCCAGGATAAGGATTAAAATACCTAATACTGGAGTATTGGCTAATCTTCTGCCACTATAATGCGGTTTTGTTGGAGTTGAATCTATTTTGATCTGTCTTTTATGTTGTGTTATAGTCTAAATCTTTTGTACTGTTGTGAAGTTATGAAAATTTTCAATATATAGGTACATAAATCCTTATGCAACGCGATAATAAGTACCGAAAACATTTTACACATTGGGTTGTTACAGAAAGTATAATGTTAATCGCTACTTAAGTAATAAACCTCAAATTTTAGTAACATATTTTAATTTTATAAAAAAAACTTTAAATAAAAGATATGGGCCACTATATACAGTAATGCACGACAATAAATGTTCCACATGCCTTCCGTCCCGCAGTTATCAGGCGCAATCAAAGAAACAACAAAGAGGTAACAAAATGTTCAAACTTATGAAATGGGACTTTTACAGTTACGTAAGGCCCATTACAGATATTTGGAACATCTGAAGAATAAAAAATCTACATTATTATGCTCAATCGCAGCGTTAATCGTAGGCTTCGATCAAAAGATTTGCTCTACCTGCCGAACCCTTCAGTTTTTTATACAGGGTGGCCGTTATAATGGCATGGTGAAAAAAATCTAACGGTCCCTTTCCACCCAAACACACATTGCAATGACAAAAACACAATGACATAGAAACTTTTATGTTTCCTGCGACGAAATACTTGCAATTTGAGAAATGTAAAAAATGTGCTTCGTATTCACAATTACTTAAAAAAGATGGAACGGCTTATTCATTTGTTTCGAACATTTTTAAAGTGATTGATTGGTATCCTTCGATTTACATTTGCAAAAAACACTTGTATCTGTGAAGGTTTCTAATAAATGCCACGCCTTTGCGGTGTTACTACAAAAGTACTTTAAGCTTTAAATTACAATTTCGACATAATTTTGACAATGTTTTGGAACAGCGGTACTTTTATTGGACGGATTAAAATAAATACGATTGTAAAAAGGATTAAAAGTAGAACAATAGTAGCAATTTTGAAACCCGCATTCTAACTTGTTGTGGAAAAAAATAAGAAAGAGTTTTATTACGCAGTAGTCGATTGTAAAGGAAAGGGGTGCGCTCTCGATTCTACTCATTGTTTAGCTACTGACCACCACGAGGGCTGAGAATGTAGTTGTAAATTGTTAGATGACTTTCTCATTGATTTATTACGACAGTAGCCATTTGACACAAAAGTCCTTGTAACGCTTCTTTTCTAACGTCCTAATTGTTACAGTTTTTATGTCGTATTGTTAAGATAATAGAGAAAGTAGTTGAGAATGCATTTTTAGGCAAGGCTTTAATACATTTGCACTTCTGTTTATTGTTCTAGACAAGAGTTTATTAAAAAAAGGATCGTAATTAAAATTCCGAATCATGTTTACTTTAACGAGCATCCAACTACGAATCCTGTGTGTGTTATGTAAAAACTTGACCAAAGTACCTAACTAGTGTATAATAGACGGTATTAGGAAAAAAAGAAGTGAACGCCCAAACTGGCCAGTTGGAGGCTCCCCTCCACTGGCCGGCAGGACGCGATCAGCGATTTGGGAGCAATGTCCTCGACCTTGAAAATAGATGAACTTATGTAACCGCCGCCGCCCGAGGGCACAGAGCCTTCTCCACCAAATATTCCTTGAGTTTTTGCACGTCCCCAGACGTTGTAATAACCTATGCATGCTAACTTAAATCCTAATTATGATTCCTAGACGACAGCATCACAACAGGCTAGGTATATAATTGCATGTCTTGCAAAAGATTATTCAGAATGATGAATAAATTGTTTTTAACTCTAGATTTTAGAGTTTTGTGTTGTTTTTTGAATAATCTGCTGAATCATGTTCTCATGAAAAACTCTGGTTTCAGATCGAGTTATTGCTAACTAGATATAAATAGAAATGAATTTATGCAGAGTGTGTGCTGAAAATGGACTTAAGAATCACGTGGTGTCGCCACGTGAACTTGTGAGCTGATTAGAAGTTAAAGAGGGGGATTTTTAAAAATAGAACCGAATTGTCAGTAGTTCATGGCGCTTTTTCACATTCTAAAAATTTACTTCCCTGAAAAGGCGGGTAAAGATGTGGTGCCTACACTTAATCTGTGCCTGTATTACTAATATCTAGTAAAATTCTTCAATATGTGATGTGAACGAGGTAAAAGTTATTACTTACGAGTACGAGACACTGAAACAAACCTTACCCTAAATCCAAAAATAAATCAACACATTTTTTGTGGGTCCAACTATATCAGTATCTATATTTCCAACACAGTTCAAATTCAGGTACCTACATATTATACCTACATCATATAAAAAGTAAGAATACATAAGTAGGTAGATTTTTTACCTTGGTTGCTATGGTGTATGGCGTAATCACTCCTATATACAATGTAAACTCGTTATAATTGAACGAACTAACGCAGGTGTTAAATAACTTACATGTTCTTGTGAGTACAACTATCATTTATATAATTTTTTGATACATTTTTATTATTTACACCCTCATACTCATCACATGGCACTCATAACATAATTGGTAAACATATTTGCATGTCCTTTTCTCTGTTTACATCTTCACTTCTTCTGGGTTTAACAGACATCTGTTTTTTTTTAATAATAACTACTATCGTGAGCCATAACTATAGATAGATAATTAAGATTATTCTCTGTGAGGGAACTATTTAAATACACTAGATTAAGACCTTACTATAAATTATTGTATATCTGTACAGACACAATGTGGCGTACTACATTGACAAAATCAATAATAGAGGTATTTGTACATGTACTGAATTAACTAAAAACTACGAGTTATTCACGGTTATATACTCAGAATATACTAGTTTCGACTTTTCGAGTCCCAGAGGGACTCTTCCTCATGACTCATGAACACCGTGCGTGGTTGCGGCGATGTCGCGCAGCCCACCCGACGATGTCGCGCAGCCCGCCCGGCGATGTCGCGCAGCCCGCCCGGCGATGTCGCGCAGCCCGCCCGGCGATGTCGCGTGCGAGTCCTTAGACCTTTTCTCAATATATCACGTGAGTAACTCGTAATTTTTAGTAAATATAAATTTAGCTTAAAACTATCAAAATCTGATGCTTATCTGAAAACACATTCCCATGTTTTTTCTTAAAAGTACTTCTATTTGTAAGGTTAAAAGGAAGAGTATAAACAAACGGAATCCTTAAATCTATTTGCAGATAAAATGTCTCACGTAAAGGTTTGTTGACAGACATGTGTTATTTGATGTTTAAAGTGTTTCTTTTTCTTATTCTTCTTGCTTCATAATATACTAGCTTTAGTGTTATTGAGAATGTTTCAATCAAGTATCGTCTGTGGTCTGTTTTTACCGCGGTGAGGTCCCGATTCTGTAAAACACACAATAATTCTAAGTAATTCTAAATTTGTTAAGTATATCTTGAGTTTATTCGTTATAAACAAACAAAGGCTTTGTTACGTTATGTTTACATTTTATAGATTACCTATCTTTTCCGTTTTTTCAATACACCATCGCTTTTGTGATAGAATATACGATGATTGTAGAAGGAGATTAAACTACATAGTTAGTAGATCCAGTTTCTGCGTTTTCAATAAGTCAATCTATAATCAGATGTAATTGACAACCATTGTGATTGACTGAGCAAAGACAATCATCTAATCACGGGACTTGACGTTAGATTCGACAGCTTGCTAATTATTTTTTGCGTTGATGTGTGCTAGCGACACCGCGTGGTTTAAAAGTAACTAATACATATTAATTATTTTAAACTATACAATAAAATGATTTAGTTATTCAAAAAGGTGACACAGATTAAATTGTATTCATTATAGAATTATAGATGTTATTACAAAATTCATAAAGCTGTTTTTATATAACATGGTTACTATTTACGGCGAAGGAACCTCTGTCGTTTTGTTATTCCTATCCGCAGCTATTATAAGCTATTGTAATTAAGTTACCAAGGATATGCAATAGTGCGGTGGGTAATAAAATAATAAATGTTTTAGAACCATTTTTATGTTTTAATTTCATATTCTTAGTATCGGTCGGTTGCCTTTTTACAAGCTTTTTTTTAATATGCCTGCGGTAGTTTGTACTGTTTTGTTTTTATAATACGTTTTAGTTTGCGCACTTAGTAACGTTTTTTACTTGAATAGTAATGCGAACCAAAAATATGATATTACACAAATACCATAATTTCAAAAAATTGTAACAATTTTTTTTCATTTTTTTACTCAGTGTTTTTGTGAACAATAGGAAGCACAAAGTAGGAAATATATGAAGATAAAAATAAGAAAAGAAAACGAGCAACAATAAAAATAAAAGTATATAAAGGAATGCGTTGCTAAAGGAGCGCTGTTTTATTGATTCTGCCAAGTTTTTACTACACCACACATATTACATCATCATAAAACACACTCCTCAAACTAACTAAGCTTCCATTAAGTGTTTAGAATTTTCCACTCGAAGAAACCATTGAACTATTTTATTGCGTTCAATTTAAAAGAAAACCATTTTCCCGTGACGAAGGCTTCAAGGTTACATATAAATAGAGATAGCTATACATACATATGTTCAATGACTTATGCCTAGAGTAGCGTCAAGTTGCTGGTCGGGGTGATGTCATAACCAAAAGCAAGAATGCACAAAAAAGCCATTGTGTAAAGAGTCGTGAGACTAGCTAGCTCAAGTCCACGAGCGTTGAACTCTTTTGAGTGCCGAACAGAGTCAATGGCTGCTATTAGCCAATTTATATGACGAACTAACGACGTTTGAATTGCTTTTACAATATCCACATAATATTCAACAGTAAACGTGGACAGATTTTTGCAAGCCTCCTTTTGACAAACACAAAGATTTAGGCTCTTAAAGGGAAACAAAGATTTCGAGTTATTTTCCACATATGTTATGTATTGTTTGATGGTAATATGCATATAACCCGCATAAGCAAAGGTTTTTGACACTTACGACAAAGACCGTGAAAAAATCGGCATGTTTAAATTCAAATAAGGTGTATTTTTGTGTGTGGAAATTGGTATTGATTTTCCAGTGGGTATAGTTGTTACACTTGTGCACATATGTACAAGTGACATTGCCTATTGGCAAGCCAAATAATTTAGTTAAACTGTTTGTTTTGTTTCGCAGTAACAGTATTATTTTGTTGGAAATTAATCATTTATAAAATAAATAATGCGTCACCGTGTGCGTAAGTACATACATATTCAGTCACCTTTCTTATGACACAGGTTGCTATGTCGTAATTTCATTGATTCAATATTTTATATATGTTTTTAATTTGCATACTTTATTGCTGCTATTATTTACGAAAATAATCTTTCAACGTTTAATTTTATCATGATCAACATAAACACTATGTGTTATTATTTATTTATTTAAGATACCTACTCTGACTAATGAATTAGAAAGATAGAAAAATTTAATAGTGCAATTTAGTTGATAATTAACATCTTATTTTTTCTTGTTTTTCGTAGTATTAACGCATCTTAGAATTCGTTCTCTGTGTTAAGATACAAGAAATATATACATTTTTGTTAAATGTTTAAAGATAGACGCGTAAAATAAAGCCATGTTTTAACGACTGCCTGGGTTTTGTAATTTTGGTTTGTGTCCTTGTCTAATGAAGATGATATCATCGGGTTGGCAATGTTTTTACTGCAAAAATACACATGTACAGAAGTACGCTGCTTTATCCCATAAATAAAATAATGACGATAGAGAATGGTAAAGCAAAGCACCGGAAAAATAGAATCTGGTTGCTAGTTTAACATTAACAATAAGGCTAATAACCTAAGTTACAATTATGTTTATCTACTGTAATGTATAATTTTTTTTTAAAAAAACGTTGCCCCACATCTCAACGCACCCACGACACAGGAGAAAATCCTAATGGATTTTCGTTTACAAACATACAAGTTCAGATACACACTGACACCCAGACCAGAAACAAAATAGAACTATGAATACATTTTTAGCTTATACATGAACAGTACACACATATACACTTATTTTTTTACTTCAGAAAGTACCAGAATATAGACTTTAGAATATTGAAGACAGTTTTTGTAGCTACAAATACATTTTACGTTTGTCTAAATGACTAAACACTTTTTGAATGCTTGTTTGGCCTAGATATACAGTTTTAATAGCCGGGTTAAAGAAAATGAAGTTAGTCGATTAAAGATTACTTTTAAAAAATTATGCGAATTAATAATCTTGACGTGATTTAGTTATCTTTTTTTCATTGTTCAATGGGTATTGATTTATTTATGTATACGAGTATAAAAAAATACTACTTTGTTATATACCTTACGGTTACATTTTTTTAGTCCTACGGTTGATAATAATCGACGCTAAACATTATTCAGTTTGATACGTAAACAGTATTTATGATATACATCTACCACTACCGTTTTTATACTAGTATTGCGGTACCAATAGTACGCTGTGATATAGTCAAAAAAGAGGTTTGAGGTCGGTTAAGATACTCGGATATTTTTTTTTAGGATATATAGCTGTGATTGTTCTTAGTATATAGGGGGTGAGCCTATTCCCCATATAGTAAAAATAACAAAATTTTTGATGTTTCAATAAATATGTGCATTGATAAAAAAAAGCAAATTTATACAGTAGTTAATTAAGTACAAATAAATTTAGTCATGTAGTTAAAAAAGAAGAAAGTATTATGTGACTAGTGGCTGTATTGCGAACGCACGTAGATGCTCGAGGTCAACGTTTTTCGACTCAAGATTGAAGCCTTGATAACAACTAAGTGGATCAAACAGCGCTACGTAATTGTCTTATTATGATGTTGCATTTGCAAAATAATGTTGTTGAAGATGTTTACTTTAGAACATTATACGCCTTTATATTGTTACAGATTTCATCTCAAGGCAAACTGCGCCATTAGGTGGTGCCGTGTCTTAGGATACCTGAGGTATTTCGCTTTTGTTTCTCTTTGTCTTTAAACGTAACTTTATTGTTACTTGTAAGGGACTGACGACATGTCGTCACGTCTTCTCGTCTCACGTCAATTACGTATTTGGACTTCACGTATTCTTGTTACCATAATATCAAATGACATATCTTTTCCGTCAGGGTTGTTCTAGAAGTTTTTACCCTTTCCATTTTTATATATGAATAGTAATATTTATCGGAAGAAAAAGAAAGGCTACCCGCAATACAAAGTAGATCTGATGTCATAGATCGTTCTCGGTAATCTGGTCAAACAAACTAGACAGTACAGTATTGGTCGTACGAATCGAGCATACAATTAAGCTGCGACCCCCTTTATGTATTTTTCAGTAAAAAATGTGGAGTGTGTCGGTCACCGAGTGCATGCGACTATTGATGCGTCAGATGTGAAATAATGATGATTAATGTAACAGCCAAATTATATTTGACATCAAATTTTATAAGACTGAATGTTTTTGAGAAATATATTATTTCTCTTTGGAGTCCAGTAATCGCAAAATTTATATTTACTGACTGACTAAATAGTAGGATACTTATTGTATAAAAGGATGCCCTTAAAACTAATTTAATAATTTGATTTATTGTGTATTGTGAATTGTGATTCATGAAATAGTGCGTGCTTTGGAAAGAATTAGTAGAGCAGACTGTTGACTTTATTTGTTTCTGAAAGTCGTGCGTAAGAAGTAGATGCAACGATGATAGGTGCATTAAAATCATGGCAAGAAAATGTCGGGCGAGGTATTGCCTAGTTTTCTATGCGTCGAAGTTGAACGCACGGCGGCGATGCCGGCGGTGGCAGTGGCGGTGGCAGCGGCGGTGTGCGTCGAGTCAAGGTAAGTGTGCCGACGGCCGGGTATGACCTAGTGCGGCTCCCCCACCCTGCTGCTCAGTTCTGCACTCGCGAAAGTTCAACGAACCTCCAGCAGAATTCTTACAGGCATACGCGACGGTTACATTACCGGAAAGCAGTTGCAATCACCTACATGCCCGCAGCATCGGCCGCTCCGCATAGGCATACAATAGGTTCGATTCTGTCTTTGAGGCTAACTAAATTTTCATTAGGCAGTTGGGTTACTGATTCTGGTTTGCCTAGATCTTTTGAATATTATTAAATCATTAAATTAAATAATAGTTTTGATAATATTTACATAACATTAATGAATGAAATTAAAATTGACCTCTTTCTTTGGCACACTTTTTAATACTTACCTATCGATTTCAGTGTAATTTATATGACCGAAATTTTATAATAAGTTATTGTATTATTTGCACCTTTGTTAGCATCAAGCTCTGGATAAAAGTGCATATCTTCTTAAACTAAGATTGCAATACCTTTACTAAAGTTTTCTTTAGTAAATAAACTTCACATATAAGAATATTAACAGTGCAACAGCCTGCACCGCCTGCACAATGGGCGCACAAGCCTGACCTTTACTAAGAGCTTGCACTTGGCAAATAGAACGGTGCTAGAACAAGTTTCCTTAACTTAGATAAACCAATGACTCGTGCAGTAAACACTATGAGTAAGAGTGAAGGAAAGGCTTTAGCAGAAATTCGCAGGAGAATTATGTTAATTTGACTTCTTATGTCACCGAGCGGCCAAGTTTCGTGAATCATGCGCTCACGCACGACACGTATTATACATACACCGTTATTACTTTCTACGAAGCCAATGATTTTCCTAATTTCCTGTTTCATGCTCGAGTTTTTAACTAATAGTTATGTTTAAATTATCATTAAGCTACCAATCATCTTCGAGTTTAGATTTTCGAATAGTTTTTGAACGGGATTCTTGAGATTTTCTGAAGGGTTTCTTTAAATTATCTGCACTTTTTAATTATTTTGTTGGTGGTGTTTCAGGGAAAAGTGTTGTCTATAAATACAATATGTAGGTATGTGTAGTTGCATGTTTTTATGTGAAGTTAGTATGAGGCTTGCAGTGGAGAGTGTGGTGGACGGTCCGGCAGTGCGCTGTAACGGCGCGATCGGGGCCGATGAACGCTGCTGGCCTTATTCCGGCAAACTATCGCAAGCGAGAAACGCGACGTGTACTTTCATTGTCACCTCGCTGTACGCACACTACTCAGCGCTTCAACCAGCCTCTATCAGTCAAGGTTGCACTGATAAAAAATGATAAGCTCGGAAGATAATTAACGTCACGTAAGATTTGACGTGATCGAATGGGTAGTTTTCCGAGTATTGTTAAATAACTGGTCCTTATTACGTCTCCATAAGCAAACCACTTTCTTAAAGTTTATTCGTTAAAAACCTGTTGCTATTTAGCTATGACTTGAGTCACTGGTGTAAATGCTAGGTACTAAATGTATGCAGTCGTTATCGAAGAAGGAGATCTGTCTGGAGAGGTCAGCTACGGTACACGATTGTATACGATTCGGCGGCGGCGCAGTGAACGGCTGTAACAATGGCGCAACAGTCGCTGGCCTACGTCACTCACTGTCAAGTGCATCGAGTTCAGATAACGCTTTGAGCTTACATACCGCTGAAATTTTACCAATTATATTAAAAGTATGACAATCACATATCTAAATAACTTTTCAGTAGCTAGTCGCATTCTGAAACCACTCTAAACTTGGTGAATTCAATTCCTCATCTCCTATTTATTTATGAATTGAAATGTCGAAGTTACGGCATTTTATTTTAACTTCTGAACCGTAGAAGTAAAGACTCTGTAGTTCTTGTGTACTAATCGTATATAGAAAGAAGGATGAAAAAACATTTATTTGACAGTAAGCACGCACACAGATATATAAAAAACAAAATTCAAAAATATATGAAGTTGACAACCAGTTGCCAACTGAAGATTCGTATTGAGTAGAACAACTCTAATTTAACTTTATAATAAAATCATACAATAATACGAGTACTTATTGTTTAAACTATGGTGGATAATATGAACGATTGTGTCGTGTAAATGAGTAAA